AAAACAACAACAAAAATTTATTTAATAAACCAAAACTTTTTTTTTTTGTCATAAAATAAACCAAAATGTTTCTAATATGTTAATGTTGAATTTAATATTTAATTTCAAATAAGTTTCTAAATTAATTCCTACAACCATTACAACCATTTTAAGATCTTTCCAAATTCAACGTGTGTCATTAGTTACACCTCCACATAACACGTTAACTTGTAAATACGGATAGTTTTGGAATCCGAAAAATAGAATAAATCAAATTTTAAGCTAGATTAGGTAACTTGCTTAATTGGATCCTAGTCAGCGGGTTTTACTTGAAAAAATTGGGTATTTTAAATAGAAAAATTAAGGAAAGGGTTGTAGGTGATTACAAATGAATTTTATGAATCTAAGCTCAATTTACTATATTATCAAATAGTTACAATCTTTGCCATCACATCTCAATCGTGTTAGGTTTTTTCCTTTTCAAATTTGCTTTATGTCCAGCCTTTCATCATTATCAGCAATAATTGGCATTTGCTTTATGTACAGCCTTTCTTTCATCATTATCTGCAATAATTGGCATTTGCTTTATGTACAGTCTTTCTTTAATCATTATCTGCAATAATTGGCATCTCTCTTTCGACCTAACATTCTATGTCAACCAAATTCCCAACCAATACAATCCACGTGTGGATCAACCAAATTCCCAACTAATACAATCCGCGTGTGGATCAACCAAATTCCCAATAGCAACGTCAAACACCATTATAAATTGCGGGTGTTATATCAACTTACCTGTATGTGTATGTTTTGGGGTCTCTCTAAGAATTTTTCTAAGATTTGGTTTACTCTCTTCTTATATTTCGATTTCCTCTTGTTGAAGTCGGGTTTGTGTTGTAAGTTAAAATCCAAAGAAAAAACAGAAGAAGAATTGAAGATGGCAGAGAAGGTGACAGTGAGCATAAGGGAGTCAACAATGGTGAAGCCAGAAGAGGAGTCGACGCCTCGAAGCCCGCTGTGGCTCTCCAACGCAGACCTAGTGTTTCCTCCCTTTCACATGTCAACTGTTTACTTTTACAGACCAAGCGGTGAGTACAACTTTTTTGACGTGGGAGTGCTCAAGCAGGCGCTCAGCAAGGCCCTTGTGCCCTTCTACCCCTTGGCTGGTCGCTTGAAGCTCAACGACCAGAGCAAGCGTCTGGAGATTGATTGCAATGCTGAGGGAGTGCTCTTTGTTGTAGCGGAGAGCAGCTCTGCCCTTGATGATTTTGGCAATTTTGCGCCCACTCCAGATTTCAAGAAGCTCATCCCCACTGTTGATTATTCTGAGATATCCTTATATCCCATTTTGGTGTTACAGGTATTTATTTGACTGACGTGGCATATATATATATATGTCACAAAATATCTCTGAGGTTCACGCACCTATCACAAATGGTCTCTGCTAATTTTTTTAATTTTTTAATTTAAAATTCATAAACTTTTGGTTTTCTTTTTAAAATTTTATGAATTTTAAATTATTTAAAATTCACAAAAAACGTGCCGTAAATATCAAGCCGTAAAAGCTTCAATTTGGTATAGTGGATGCACAAGCCAAATAGTTAATTAAATGGTTCTAAGTTACAAGCCATGCAAATTTGAACTCAACTAACTGAAATTGGGGAAATTCTTGAAATACGTTGAAATATTTATAGGATCAAAATCGAGGGACACACATAAAACCACACTTTTTTAGCTTTTAAATGTTTATTAAATTGAGCTTACACCCATAAAATTCATTTTAAATCACCTACAACCCTTCCTTTTATTTTTATATTTAAAATACCCAATTTTTTCAAATAATACCCGATGACTAGCCTCCAACTAAGCAAGTTACCTAATATAACTTAAAATTTGATTTATTGTATTTTTCGAATTCCAAAAGTGCCCATATTTATAAGTTAATGTGTTATTAGGGGGTGTAACTAATGATACATGTTGAATTTGGAAATATCTCCTGGTTATAATGGATGTAGGAATTAATTTAGAAACTGATTTGAAATTAAATATTAAATTCAACATTAAAGTATTAGTAATCTATAGGTGGTTAACGTTTTGGTTTATTTAATAAAAGAATTATGTTGTTTTGCTTTTATGAATTATAAGACTAGTAATCTATTTTATTATAGTTTTATGAATAATAGTGTACATTCTAATTATGTTGAAAAATAATTTGATAATCTATTTATTGTTTGTTTTTTGAAAAACATTTTTTAAATATAAATGAACCTATTTTTTCTCTAAATAATGTACCTATTTTTTTTCTCTAAATAATGTACCTTTTTTTTTTCCTCTAAATAAAGCACCTATTACTTGTTGAGTTTTATGAAAAATAATTTGATCATCTTTTTATTGTTTGTTTTATGAAAACAATTTTTTTTTTTTAAAAGAACCTATTTTTTCTCTAATAATGTACCTATTAAAACAATTTACCTAGTATAATGAACCTATTTTTACTAAATGCAGAGCACTTGGCTATTCTCTTTTACTTAATCTGAATATCATGAAGTTTGAGTTTCATGTGATGAGTGCTTACTAAAATGATTTCCAGCTCAAATTTAGAACCGTTGGACTAGTTGGGGCCAGAATGAAAGATCAGTTTTTAAGTAAGGTTTTCTTCATTTAAAGAGTAGGATTTTGGTGAATCATACGCCCTGTCTATTAAGTTAATCTGAAATAGCTGATAACTCAAAATTTTGTTGTAGCTTTTGCTTGAAGATTTGCAGCAGATGTTGTGAAGCAAATCGAATGTGAGGAGAGAGGAGAGGGAGAGGAGAGATAATGAGATTGATATTCCCGATGATATAGAACCAAAAATTTATTTGAAAATGGAGTTTTAATCTCAGCCATTGAATGAATGTTAATCAAGTGGTTAAAAGTGTCTGTCATATTTTGTGTTAAAAATGTGTGTTTCGATCCTGACTCATATATATATGCATGTAAATGCAGGTCACATACTTCAAATGTGGTGGAGCGTCACTGGGTGTTGGCGTGGAACACCGCATTGTAGATGGAGCTTCTAATCTCCATTTTGTAAATACATGGTCTGATATCGCTCGTGGTGATCTCTCAAATATTAAACCACCCTTCATGGACAGGACTTTACTTCGTGCCCGAGACCCACCTCAGCCTGCATTTCCCCACATTGAATTACAACCTTTTCCACAAGTGAAGCTAGCTCCAGATCATCCGCAAAGTACAACCACTACTACAACAACATCCATTTTTAGATTGACGCAGGAGCAGCTCAAAATTTTGAAAGCCAAGTTCGAGGAAGATGGCGGGAATATTAATAATACAATCAAGTATACCACATTTGAGATTTTGGCAGGTCATATTTGGAAATGTGTTTGCAGGGCACGTAAACTTCCTGATGATCAAGATATCATGCTAGTTATGGGCATTGATGGACGGTCCAGATTGAAACCCCCACTCCCACCCCATTTCTTTGGCAATGCTATTAGCAGAGCCGTACAAATTGCTGCAGCAGGGGATATCCAATCGAAACCAACGTTGTATGCTTCAAGTTGTGTTCGCGGCACTCTAGAGCGGATGGACGATGATTATTTTAGATCATTCCTTGACTATCTTGAGCTTCATAATTCTCGTGTTCCCAAACCTAATCAATTTATCTGGAGCCCCAACCTTTGGATAAACAGTTGGGTTCGTATGCCGATTCATGATGCTGATTTTGGTTGGGGTCGACCCATTTTCATGGGGCCTGGTGAAGTTCCAGTTGACGGGTATTGTACCATATTGCCAAGTGCAACTAATGACAGGAGCTTATCGGTCTGCATTTCTTTGAACTCTGAGCACATGGAATCATTTTCCAAGTTGTTGTATGACATATAAGGAAATGAATCCGCCGGAGAAATTTGGTCATGCCTGATTCGAATAGCTGTCAGTCCCTTTATCTTTAAAGTTGGTGTATTAGTTTGTGCACGTTGCTTGATTTAGTATTGCAAAACTTTGTGTCAAAAGTTGGTGGATTTGTTATCCACAATAATAAAAAGAATATGTGTTTTATTGTGACTCTTATTTCTGATGAGATAAAAAGTAAATTGGTGCTTAATTTTACAACATACATGATTGCATGCATTTTCAACATACATGGTTTCAGCCGAGTATCAAGCTTGGCTTTGTTTATTTCTTTTACAAGCCAAGCTCAAATGAACTGAAAATAGTCGAGCTGGAGTTGTATCAAGTCAATTTACAGTAATAAGCTGGTCCATTTACAGTATCAAGCCACCTCCGTTTCCATAGCCACCACCTTTGTTACATTGTTGTGGTTTGGGAGGGCATTTTTGCTTGGAGTTGGATTCATCTTCAGGATGGTTATCTATGAGCCAGTTGAGGACCCCTCGGTCCAGTAGAGGAGCTAGGATTCTTAGTATGGAGGGGTCAAAATTTCAAAATCACTTACACTAGGTTTTTCATCTTCAACTGGGAGGGCCATATCACTAATCTAATTGCAGTAATTGTATTGCTATATCATATATTTTATAATATATTACAAGAGATTAATAATTAAATGGGGGGCCAAGGTCATGGCAGGCCTTGCTGTGGCTCCACCCCTGCCTCGGCCTATGCCAATGGCACCGTCCAGAGGGGCCAAAGGGAAAGTCATGACATCTAAGGGCAAAGCTAGGATTTGAAGTTTGGGAGGCCAAAATATATAAAGCAAAAATATACAAATTCTATTAAAAGTTAAAAGAAAAACCATGAGCAAAAAATAGCAAGATTTTTAAAACAAAATTATTTCGTATAACAAAAAAGTTCACATAGTGCAATCAATATATGAAGCATATAAGTGCTAAAATATGAATATAGTTTGAATACTTTGAGTTTAGTTTTATTCTTCTCCATAAGGAGATATATATAGGAGTTTACATGAGTGCTTTACAAGGAAATAGATACAGTAATCAATTAGGATAGTATCTCCTAATTATACAATGATTTGTCAACTATATAAAATAGGAAAGTAAATCCCTTAATTAATCAAGAAAATAAATCTCCTTGATTAATTAGGAGACTCACGTCAACTAAGAATCAATTATATTAATGCGAATAGTAACTATTATTGCCTCATGTTACCTTTTACGATGACAAATGGGTGAAAGTACTAGGGCATTGAACTTCTGCCCTCAGACACACAGGGTTGATTAGCGCTGACCACTGCGCCAACGCATAGGCTGTTGGTGTCTATTTCATTGACATAAGCTAAAAAGTTAGATAGTAGAATTTGATATTTAATGTCAAGCTCCATTAATTTATTAGAATAACATTAATAACACATAAAAAGGAGGCCTAGTCAACGAAGGAGCCTCAGATACTGCGTCAGCTCTTATTTGAGTGTAGGTATTTTAGTACACACATATGATTATGGCCTTCTTCAGTTGCATGCATGCAACGAGAGACTGCCATATTACTTCTATATTTTGTTGCCCTTGTTGCCCCGACGGATGATAATTTGCCATTGCCAGTTGTCGAAAAATCCCCACAGGTCCTCGAAATTACAGTTGTTGTTTCCCTTAGCTTTGATTTCATGGAGGCGCGCGTCGTCCACATAAAAGCGGTTGTGATCAAAATCGTTGTTGAAGTTGCCAAATCCTATCGCGTTGTCGTTGTTACTAATAGCTTGGCGATTGGGATTTTCAACATAGCATTGGTTGGAGTTGGTTTGATCTAGACTCGCCATTGTCTCACTGATGAGTTTTTAGGTTATGGGTTTGGGATGTGTGTGTGTGTTTGCTCTGATGATCAACTTATTGCCTCATGGTCTCCTTTTATAGTTGTTGGCATGCGCAAAAGCAGAAGATATTTTATAATGGCCGATACCCTGTGCATAATACAGATTCTATATTGATCATCAGATTCGTCCACATATATATATATATATACATAATTTACGTTTTATCTTCTTGGAATAATACTCTACAGGTGGCAATACATACAATTTTAGTTAAATAGATTATCAAAAAATGTTTTTCATAAAACAAACAATAAATAGATTATCAAAATATTTTTCAACATAATTAGAATGTACACTATTATTCATAAAACTATAATAAAATAGATTACTAGTAGTATAATTCATAAAAGGAAAACAACAACAAAAATTTATTAAATAAACCAAAACGTTTTTTTTTTGTCATAAAATAAACCAAAACGTTACTAATACGTTAATGTTGAATTTAATATTTAATTTCAAATAAGTTTCTAAATTAATTCCTACATCCATTACAACCATTTGAAGATCTTTCCAAATTCAACGTGTGTCATTAGTTACACCACCACATAACACGTTAACTTGTAAATAGGGGTAGTTTTGGAATCCAAAAAATAGAATAAATCAGATTTTAAGATAGATTAGGTAACTTGCTTACTTGGATCCTAGTTAGCGGGTTTTAGTTGAAAAAATTGGGTATTTTAAATAGAAAAATAAAGGAAAGGGTTGTAGATGATTACAAATAAATTTTATGGGTCTAAGCTCAATTTACTAAAAAAAGAATTCATTCTTATGATATTGCATGTTTAATTAGAGAACATCACCAAATGAAACTATTAAATGATTTATAATATAAGTTGACATTACATATGAAAAAGAGGCCTAGCTAGAAGCCTCTTAGATTTTGGATTAGCTCTTATTTGAAACAATTATCTAATTTCTTATTCCATTGCATGCAAGGAGCTTGTTCCTATTCAGTACTAGTTGCCAAATGTTTTTCCTTTTTTTTTTTTCTTCTCCTTTTTGGTCAATATGTTGCCAATGTCGTTAAATCCCTGAGCCTTGCCATGGTTCCCGTTCATTTCATGGTCCGAAATGATGGTCTCTTCTTTTCTGTCAAAGTCCCAAATGATGAACCCACTGAAATCAAAGTTCCAGCTCCTGTTGTCGAAGAAACGTTTCACCTGGCCCCTGTCGACGTTGTTCTCCATTGCATGAAAGCTGTTGTTCAAGTTGGCAAATCCAATCGCGTTGTCACTGCCTTGGTTGGAGTTGGTTGGACCTTGACTCGTCATTCTCTGGCTCACGCTGATTAGATTTTAGGTTATGGTTGGGATGTGTCTTGTTTGCTTTGATGATCCACTTATTGCCTCACTGATTAGTTGTTGTTGGCATGCGCAAAAGCAGAAGATATTTTATAATGGCCGATACCCTGATCACAATATTGATCAATAGTACGTCAGATTCTTTCATATATATCGTTAACGCATCTGCGCGGGAGAAGACTTTGCCTTGTCTGGTAGCTTTATCTTAACATTATGAGAATAAGCATGCATGCCACATCCCTTACCCTTTCATAGAATATAGATGATGAGGAGGAATCTTTTGAAGTACCCTTAGCGTGCTTGCCAAGCTACTCTCTATGCCTTCAGAACAACCTGAAATTGGCGATATGGAAGTTTTCTCTGAAGGATGCTATATTGATTGAAAAAGCAGGCCTAATAATATTCCACTAATTTTAGTCCAAACTTTTCTCAATCATTTCCTAATAACCAACTAGCATTGCATGCTCACATTGGATTTTACAACATGCATATTCCTTTTACAACATAGCTTCAAACATAACACAAGCATGATACTGTAAGAACAGTACAAATCCTAAACCAATAGAAGTTGACATTACACCTTATAAAAAGGCCTATAGCTGGAAGCCTCAGATTTTGGATTAGCTCTTATTTTAGACAATGATCTAATTTCTTATTCCATTGCATGCAAGGAGCTTGTTGCGAAAGGTTTTTGCCTTCTTTTTCGTTTTGGTCACTATGTTGCCGATGTGGTTAAATCCCTCAGCCTTGTCATGGTTACCGTTCATTTCATTGTCCGAAATGATGGTCTTACTGAAACTAAATTTCACGCAGAATTCGTTAAAACGTTTCACGGGGCCGCTGTCGGCCAGTGCATCAAATCCAATCGCGTTGTCGCTGTCGCTGTTGTTCAAGTTGGCAAATCCAATCGCGTTGTCGCTGCCTTGGTTGGAGTTGGTTGGACCTTGACTCGTCATTCTCTGGCTCACTGATTAGATTTTAGGTTATGGTTGGGATGTGCCTTGTTTGCTTTGATGATCCACTTATTGCCTCATGGTCTCCTTTTGTAGTTGTTGGCATGCGCAAAAGCAGAAGATCCCTATTTTATAATGGTCGATACCCTGAGCACAATACAGATTCTATATTGATCATCAGTTTCGTCCACACACACATATATATATATATATATATAATTTACATTTTATCTTCTTGGAATAATATTCTACAGTTGGCAATACATACAATTTTAGTTAATTGCTTAGCTATGGTCCATGCTCCATTGCATACGTAAGTTGTTTTACGCAAGATAGAATAATTCCGAGATGTTGAATTCAACAAAACTATAATCCAGAACAAATTCATCACTATAAGGACAAACTCATCCATTTGCAATATTCCTCACTCAAGTTACTATTGTGCGTAGATTCTCAATCCTCAATAATGGGTCAGTTAATATCTAACAAGGAATGCTATTGTTCGTAAGTTTTTTCTTTTCTTTTTTCAATCAATCGAGGAGGGGAAGGAAGCTGTTCTAATGAGAAGAGCAATGGAATTTGGTTGATAGCTTAAAAAAATTCATTCTTATGATATTGCATGTTTAATTTCAAATCGGTTCAACGCAAATTCATATTAATTGAATTCGATAAGGATAATGAAGTTGACATAGTTCTATACTCACCATAATATTCACATATTAAATTAGAATTCAATATATATATATGGATAATGAAGTTGATACATCAAGATTCGTTACTTAAGTTACTACTGTAGGTCCCCAATGCCCATTAGAATCTTTCTCTCATCATACCATGAATTCACCACTTGTTACGCCAGGTCATCATAGTTAACAGACTTTTGGATGGAGTTGACATCAGGGGGCAAAGTGAGTCACCAAACCACAGTCAAGCGGGGTAAATGGGCCACTTTAAGTTTTGGGGGGAGGGAGGAGAGGGAGCAATGTGAAATTTGACCGTAATTTCAGGGGGCATTGGTGTAAATAAGTCTATTTAATACAAAAAAAAATATATAAGTGAAAGTGAAAGTGTTTTCCCTTTTATCAAACACTTTAACAGAAAAGTCATTTTAACATAATGTCATTTTTAGTCATTATACACAGCTCACAACACTTTCACAAAAAAAAAAAAAAAAATTACCAAACACTTAGACACTGATTATTGTACTAACAACACTTTTAATAAACAGTTTACCAAACGCCAAACTGCTTTCTCTCACGGTTGATTTCTCTCACAGCAAATCTGATAGCGATAATTTTCACAGCACGACAATGCCAAACTGACCCTAAAAGTCCAAGTCTAATCGTACCAATTTGTCAAAACATTAACATATATGGATAAATGAGTTATCAAAACCTACAACAATTAATAACTAGCAAGTAATCAGATCATCTTCTACAATGAAATTGGTTGGATGAGAATCGTAGATATGCTTCTTCTTGTATCAGTCAAAAGTGTCTAAAGGTGCATGCTTGTGCTATCTACAAACTTTTATAAATTTGATGGACAATTCTTGCGAAATGGAAAAACATTCCTCCTCAGGCGAAAATACAATTATGAGTACTCGTCATTTCTCTGAACTCTGAGCACATGAAATCATTTTCTAAGTTATTGTAACTTGTATGACATATAAAGGAATGAATCCGCCGGAGAAATTTGGTCATACCCGTTCGAATAGCCGTCAGTCCCTTAATCTTTAAGGTTGGTGTATTGGTTTGTCCACGTTGATTGATTTAGTATTGCAAAACTTTATTTCAAAAGTAATGAATGTATTGGTGTATGCGGTGGATTTGTTATCCACAACAATGAAAAGAAGTCATAACAAGAATATGTGGTGCTGTACTACTCTTACCACATTTGTATATAACATTTATGTGACAGATGAGGTGTGCTTGCCAAGCTACTACTCTCTATGCCTTCAGAACAACCTGAAATTGGCGATGGAAGTTTTCTCTTAAGGATGCTATATTGATTGAAAATGCAGGCCTAATAATATTCCACCAATTTTAGTCCAAACTTTTCTCAAACTTTTCATAATAACCAACTAGCATTGCATGCTCACATTGGATTTTACAACATACATATTTCTTTTACAACATAGCTTCAAACATAACACAAGCATGATACTGTAAGAACAGTACAAATCCTAAACCAATAGAAGTTGACATTACACCTAAAAAAAAGGCCTATAGCTAGAAGCCTCAGATTTTGGATTAGCTCTTATTTTAGACAATGATCTAATTTCTTATTCCATTGCATGCAAGGAGCTTGTTCCTATTCAGTATCAATACTATAGTTGCCAAAGGTTTTTCCCTTCTTTTTCTTTTTGGCCAATATGTTGGCGATGTCGTTGAATCCCTCAGTCTTGCCATGGTTCCCGTTCATTTCATTGTCCGAAATGATGGTCTTTTCTGTTTTTCGCCCACCGAAATCAAACTTCCAGCTCCAGTTGTCCATGAAACCTGACTTGTCTCTGTCGTTCATCAAGTTGGTAAATCCAATCGCGTTGTCGCTCTTATGAACATAGCCTTGGTTGGAGTTGGTTGGACCTTGACTCGTCATTCTCTGGCTCACTGATTAGATTTTAGGTTATGGTTGGGATGTGCCTTGTTTGCTTTTGATGATCCGCTTATTGCCTCATGGTCTCCTTTTATAGTTGTTGTTGGCATGCGCAAAAGCAAAAGATATTTTATAATGGCCGATACCCTGAGCATAATACAGATTCTATATTGATCATCAGATTCGTCCACATATATATATATATATATATATATATATATATGTGGACGAATCTGATGATCAATATAGAATCTGTATTATGCTCAGGGTATCGGGTTAATTGCTTAGCTATGGTCCATGCTCCATTGCATACGTAAGTTGTTTTATGCAAGATCGAATAATTCCGAGATGTTGAATTCAACAAAACTATAATCCAGAACAAATTCATCACTATAAGGATGAACTCATCCATTTGCAATATTCCTCACTCAAGTTACTATTGTGCGTAGATTCTCAATCCTCAATAATGGGTCAGTGAATGTTTAACAAGGAATTCAGGGCTTGTTTCGTAAGTTTTTTCTTTTCTTTTTTCAATCAATGGAGGAGGGAAGGAAGCTCTTCTAATGAGAAAAGCAATGGAATTTGGTTTTGATAGCTTAAAAAGAATTCATTCTTATGATATTGCATGTTTAATTAGAGAACATCACCAAAGGAAACTATTAAATGATTTATTATATAAGTTGACATTACATATAAAAAAGAGGCCTAGCTAGAAGCCTCTTAGATTTTGGATTAGCTCTTATTTGAAACAATTATCTAATTTCTTATTCCATTGCATGCAAGGAGCTTGTTCCTATTCAGTACTAGTTGCCAAATGTTTTTCCTTTTTTTTTTTTCTTCTCCTTTTTGGTCAATATGTTGCCAATGTCGTTAAATCCCTGAGCCTTGCCATGGTTCCCGTTCATTTCATGGTCCGAAATTATGGTCTCTTCTTTTTTGTCAAAGTCCCAAATGATGAACCCACTGAAATCAAAGTCCCAAATTTATAGAAAATATAGGTACATTATTTACCCACCATAGGGAAATTATTTTACAATATACCTATAAATGTGTATAGGTACATTATTTGGAGAGGAAAAATAGGTTCATTTAAAAAAAATACGTACATTGTTTCACTAGGTATATTATTAGAGGAAAAAAATAGGTACATTATTTGGAGAGAGAAAATAGGTTCATTTAAAAAAATTGTTTTTGACAGGACCCCCCCGGATTTCCTCGGAAACCGAGACGGATCCCGTCTATGATCCGACACCCTACAGGTGCCGGGCCCACTTACTAAGAACCAAGACCTCTACCAAAAATTTTGGCAGAGTCTCCCCTGTAAACAAGACATATCCCCAAAAATTTCAACCTGTCAGAAACACAGATATTTACAACCCAACAACCAGCATGCATTACACAAAGTATAGTGTTATAGAACATGGCCTACGACCTCAAAATACCAAATCCTAACAGGCGATAACAGAGCAAGTCTACAGAGTACAACAAACTAGCAAAAATGAAGTTTTACGTATTTACATAGCACTGAGGCTCTAAGAAAGCTCAAGTACTGCGGCTCGTGATAGCAGGAGCACAAAACACGGCACTGCAGCTCGTTCCAGTCAACTACTGGCTGTGGGGCGCAAAACAGAAAATTGTGAGTGGACAAAACAAAATTTAGTTTCATTTAAACCAAAGTAATATAATCCCACTGTTAGAAAACCATGCATGAAAACAATGCATTAAGTCCGTCATATACATATATAAATAATTTGCTCAAACCCGAGCTAAATCCGAAATCCAGTGAAACTTACAAATTAACCCACCCAAACCTTTCCTTACAAATCTCAAATCAAACTCTCGAAACACGTGCCCACTGGCACGATGAGCGGGGAAGTATCCTCACTCAGAAACAAGAACAAAGGAATAGCTATATAATATAAGAGATATACTATATATATATATATATATGACCCACCTATTTGTACCGGGGAAACAATCCAACAGGGGATTGTTGACTAGCTCACAATTATCAGCCCTCAAACGGACTATGTGGCTAGGGACGAGCCATCCAACTGGGTGACTAACTCTCAGCCAGCACGTACGGACGAAGAATCAAGACCCGTACGCCTGTAAACAGTCCTACGCGCGCAGACTACCCAATTAAGGGTCTACAGCGGCACCCCGTTAAGGTATGCCCCGGGTTCCGACATTTCCAAGTATCTCACAATTCCATATCCACAATCCAAATCAGGGGAGGTACACAGGGCAGTGCTTACAGCACTCCAAACTGACATTCTAAACTCATACTTTTCCTCATCTCACAACACCCCAAAGTACCTCACACAATCTCAACAAGCCAACACTTTCCCAATAATATACTTATATGCTTCAAGATACTTATTATGTCAAAACCCATATAAATTGCAAATAACTTTATAACATAACATATTCAACATATGAATAAATGGATACGACAAGATGGGTTTGCATAAAACCATTTAAATCTTCATGCATAGAAATTTCATTATAAAACCATGCTATTTACTTGAAAACAAAATCCACTCACAAGTAGTCCCACGCTGCGTAACCCTGAGAGGTTCCTGCCTGCTGTGTAGGTGTAGTCGGAATACCTATTTCAGAATACGAACACGATATCAAAAATCCGACTCTTCAAAAAATGAGACTTTAAAGTAAAATCCTAATTTCCCGGGTTTCTCTCAATTTCAAGGATCGAGACGTCCCTAAGATCCAATCTAAGGGTTCCAAGCGCTGTAAAAGTCTCGGAAGACACTCGGTCAACCGGACGGTCAAAACTTTAAGTTGATGAACCGGAACATCCGGGGCTCCGATTCACGATCCGCGAATTCCTATACGATCCTAGGAATACCAGGAACAACATACGTGAAATTGGGTTTGATCCAACGGTCCAAACACATCAAACCCCAAAATCACAGATTATGTATAATTGGTTCGAGGTCCATACGATATCCAAATTGAGATCCGTAAACTCCTACGCGCTCGTGACAACATAAGGATCATTCTAGGATAAAATGTGACCTCTGCCGGACTGCCCACGCGCCGCCCCACGCGCTACCGCGCGTGGGTGGCTTGGTCACTGTTCAGGTGACCGGAAAAACTCAGAATCTTGGCTCCAAACTCCTAATCTAGGTAATACCCCTAATTTGGAGTCTCTTTTGTTCTTGGGGCATACCCCAAATTCTCGACGGAAGTGGCTGGGATCGGGGTCTCCAAATCTGTCAAAACCTAATTGCTGCCGCGCGTGGGTGGCTTGGTCACTGTTCAGGTGACCGGAAAATCTTAGAATCTTGGCTTCAAACTCCTAACCTAGGTAAAACACCTAATTTGGAGTCACTTTTGTTCTTCGGTAATGGCCAAAAAGTGGCCGGAAGTGGCTGGAAATTCCACTTGAAAACCGGCTGAACCCTAACTTCGAAATCGAGCTGTAACCTCTCAAAATTCTGGGAAACCTAACCAACAGGCAGCTAGAGTACGAAAAACAGTCGAGAAATTATACCTCACTCGTCGGAATCGGTGGAGGATTGAAGGAGAACGAAGGAAGGGAAAAATCGCAGGAAATCCGGTCTGTTTTTGAAATTTTCCGGCGTCTGAGCGGCGGCTTCCGGCGGAAGATGGCCTGGGGTTCGAAGGCGAGGTCTGGCCGGATGTTTTGGTACCGGTGCCGTGGGCTGGGGTGGACCGTGGTGGCGGCGAGAGGCCAAAAAGGCCTTCGGTGAACAGTGTCGGGGAGGGGGAAGTCGCACGCAGAGGGAGAGAGGGAGAGAGAGAGAGAGAGAAATGAGAAATTGAAAATGAAAATCTGATCTTAATCCAAAATAATTTCTGAAAATTTTCAATTAGGCCCTTAATAATTTTTCGATCATATCTTCTTCGTTTCAAGTCCGAATCGAGCCTACCGCGTGTCTACGGACTCGGCTCAGTACAACCTTCCTAAAAATATTACCCGTTGCTCCAAACTCTCTCCGAATAAAAATTGACCTTTTTTCCCCCACTTCAAGGGCAAAATTGAAAATTCCATTTTTAAATTAAATTAATTAATGAAAAGTCTTATTTTTGGGTCGGGATGTTACAGTTTTTCATAAAACAAATAATAGGTACTTTATTTAGAGAAAGAAAAATAGGTACATTATTTAGAGAAAAAATAGGTTCATTTAAAAAAAAATGTTTTTCATAAAACAAACAATAAATATATTATCAAAATATTTTTCAACATAATTACAATGTACACTATTATTCATAAAACTATAATAAAATAGATTACTAGTAGTATAATTCATAAAAGGAAAACAACAACAAAAATTTGTTAAATAAACCAAAACGTTTTTTTTGGTCATAAAATAAACCAAAACATTACTAATACGTTAATGTTGAATTTAATATTTAATTTCAAATAAGTTTCTAAATTAATTCCTACATCCATTACAACCATTTGAAGATCTTTCCAAATTCAACGTGTGTCATTAGTTACACCTCCACATAACATGTTAACTTGTAAATAGGGGTAGTTTTGGAATTCGAAAAATAGAATAAATCAGATTTTAAGCTAGATTAGGTAACTTGCTTATTTGGATCCTAGTCAGAGGGTTTTAGTTGAAAAAATTGGGTATTTAAATAGAAAAATAAAGGAAAGGGTTGTAGATGATTACAAATGAATTTTATGGGTCTAAGCTCAATTTACTATAAAAAGAATTCATTCTTATGATATTGCATGTTTAATTAGAGAACATCAACAAAGGAAACTATTAAATGATTTATTATATAAGTTGACATTACATATGAAAAAGAGGCCTAGCTAGAAGCCTCTTAGATTTTGGACTAGTTCCTATTCAGTATCAATACTCAAGGGCGGAACTATGAAGGGGCTCGGCTGGGCTCTAGCCCAGGGCTGATTTTCCAACTTAGTCTTAAATGTATAAAAAAAAGTACCCTATAATTAAATATTAGTCCACCGTTTAACACACACAACACCTTTTCTTTTTCTCAGCCCACGAAGAGGACAAGGCCAAACAACAACTAGTCTTCGAGGGAGAGCGGGAAGAAGGAGAAGAAGGAAGAGAAGAGAGAGCGATGGAAAAAAAAATAGAAAAAAGAGAGAGATATGGAAGATGACGCAAAAGAGGGAGAAGATAAAAAAAATTGCAGAGACTGACAGAGGAAATTTGAAGCATGATATATTATATTATAAAGCATGATATATTATATTATAAAAGAAGTTAAGAAAAATAATTTAGCCTACCCCTAAAAAAATTCCTGGTTCCGCCATTGTCAATACTATAGTCACCTAGCCCCTGTCGACGTTGTTCTCCATTGCATGAAAGCTGTTGTTCAAGTTGGCAAATCCAATCGCGTTGTCGCTCTTATGAACATAGCCTTGGTTGGTTGGACCTTGACTCGTCATTCTCTGGCTCACGCTGATTAGATTTTAGGTTATGGTTGGGATGTGTCTTGTTTGCTTTGATGATCCACTTATTCCAAGAATATCTTCTTGGAATAATATTCTACAGTTGGCAATACATACAATTTTAGTTAATTGCTTAGCTAGGGTCCATGCTCCACTGCATACGTAAGTTGTTTTACGCAAGATCGAATAATTCCGAGATGTTGAATTCAACAAAACTATAATCCAGAACAAATTCATCACTATAAGGACGAACTCATCCATTTGCAATATTCCTCACTCAAGTTACTGTTGTGCGTAGATTCTCAATCCTCAATAATGGGTCAGTGAATGTTTAACAAGGAATTCAGGGCTTGTTTCGTAAGTTTTTTCTTTTCTTTTTTCAATCAATGGAGGGAAGGAAGCTCTTCTAATGAGAAGAGCAATGGAATTTGGTTGATAGATTAAAAAAAATATTCATTCTTATGATATTGCATGTTTAATTTCAAATCGGTTCAACACAAATTTATATTAATTGAATTCGATAAGGATAATGAAGTTGACATAGTTTTCCAATTGACGATAGTCAATACACATCCTCAGACTTTGATCACTTTTTTTTTACAAAGAGTGCAGGAAAACCCCATGGTGAGGTACTAGGACGAATGAAACCTTTTTTTTCAAGCTCTTGCAATTATGTTCTGAGTTCTTTCAACTCTGCTGGTGCCATCCGATGTGGAGTTATAGAGATAGGTGGTGTGCCAGGATAGATATCTATAGAAAACTCCACTTCACGTTCTGGGGGTAATCCAGATAACTCTTCTGGGAAAACTTCATTGAAATTCTTCACTATAGGATTAAGCTCAAGTTTGGGATCACCCAGATCCTTATTGGCCATATGAGCAATAAATTTCAAATAAATACAATCTTTGTTATCCAAGATTGATTCAGGCTTGCAACTATTCTTATTTCCATAAAAACTGAATGTTTTCCCATCTCTAAGAGTCATAGTCACCATGTTTCTACCACAATCAAGAATAGCTTTAAATTGGGTAAGCAAGTCCATCCCCAATATTACATCATACACCATGAATTTTAGTTAATTGCTTAGCTATGGTCCATGCTCCATTGCATACGTAAGTTGTTTTACGCAAGATCGAATAATTCCGAGATGTTGAATTCAACAAAACTATATTCCAGAACAAATTCATCACTATAAGGACGAACTCATCCATTTGCAATATTCCTCACTCAAGTTACTGTTGTGCGTAGATCCTCAATCTTCAATAATGGGTCAGTGAATGTTTAACGAGGAACTCAGGGCTTGTTTCGTAAGTTTTTTTCTTTTCTTTTTTTCAATCAATGGAGGGAAGGAAGCTCTTCTAATGAGAAGAGCAATGGAATTTGGTTGATAGATTAAAAAAAATTCATTCTTATGATATTGCATGTTTAATTTCAAATCGGTTCAACACAAATTCATATTAATTGAATTCGATGAGGATAATGAAGTTGACATAGTTTTTCAATTGACAATAGTCAATGCACATCCTCAGACTTTGATCACTTTTTTTTTTACAAAGAGTGCAGGAAAACCCCATGGTGAGGTACTAGCTAGGACGAATGAAACCTTTTTTTTCAAGCTCTGGCAGTTGTGTTTTGAGTTCTTTCAACTCTGCTGGTGCCATTCGATGTGGAGGGTATAGAGATAGGTGATGTGCCAGGATAGATATCTGTAGAAAACTCCACTTCACGTTCTGGGGGTAATCCAGATAACTCTTCTGGGAAAACATCACTGAAATTCTTCACTATAGGATTAAGCTCAAGTTTGGGATCACCCAGATCCTTATTGGCCATATGAGCAATCAATCTCAAATAATTACAATCTTTATTATCCAAGATTGATTCAGGCTTGCAACTGTTCTTATTTCCATAAAAACTGAATGTTTTCCCATCGCTGAGAGTCATATTCACCATCTTTCTGCCACAATCAAGAATAGCTTTAAATTGGGTAAGCAAGTCCATCCCCAATATTACATCACACACCATGAATTCCAATATCATCGGGTCAACAACAAGTTTATGATCTGATATCTCTATTATACAGGATCTACACAACTTATTAACTTCAACACATTTACCCAATGGAGATCCAATCATCAACGAGGATTTCATAAATTCATATTCTAATCCAAGAATAGATGCAAAGGACACAGATATGAATGAATTTGCAGCATCGAGGTCAAATAATATTCTAGCCCACGAGTTGAAAACTAGAAATGTACCTTCCACCACAGTAGGTTCATTCTGCTCCACCACTTGTCCAACAACATATACTTGTCCATGAGTGAGTTGTTCTGGTCTTCTTGCTGCTCCTAGCGCCTTAGGCCTTTGTTGTGTAAGTTGTCCTCTTGGACGTTGTGCCTGTTGATTAACATGACCTCTAAACTGATTCTGTGAAGTATGGTATGGGGCTTGGTACGGAGCACGGTATTGTGTTTGTGGAGCTTGAATTTTTTGTTGTGGTGCACGGAACTGTGGTTGTGGTTGTGGAGCAACATGTATTTGATATGATTGTAGATGGGGACAATCTCTCCGGTAATGTCCTATCTGCCGACAAAGATAACAAAATCCTGAGTTTTGAGTTGCCTCAAATGATCTTGGATTTTGATACCGGGATCGAGAGGGGAAAAATCTTTGGCGTTTACTGCTTTGTCCCCCATTTGGATTCTTAGGTTCAAAAATTCTTTTAGAACTAAGTATCCTTTGTTCTGCCATTAAGGCACGAACATAAGGTAAGTCTATCCCTGGCGGTGGCCACATATCAACTGCTATAATCGCAGCATCTTCTAACACTTGGTTGTAAGAGTGTGCTTCAATATTTAATTGATACTGACTCCTAATATTGTTTGCCAGCAACCGACGTTTAACAACTAGTCTCTGCATTTCTGGTGTATAAAACATCCTTCTATTTCCTGTATCTACTTCATTAACTACGTCCACATAAGCTTGGTGGCGTAGACAGCTGTGGAACACTTCTTCATCTACAGGGATAAGGCCGTTGGGTCCCATTTGGAACCCTCCCCATGTATCATTACTTTGATCGGGTTGCATCCTAAACATTAATTTAACAGGTCAGTGAATAACAAAACAATTTAATGAA